CATATATATATATAACATAACCTTCCTTAGGGTCATTATGAAATATGCTTGGTTTTCCAGTGATGTCCTATAGCCGATAGAGACCTTTGTTGTATGCAGCATTCTTTAATTTGCAGTTATAGAACTGGACTGTTGCTGTATAAAAACAAGGGTTGTGATGCAAAGTTTTGCTGTGAACAGTGAATATAACTCCCTGTTGCCTTTTCCTTCGTAGGTGTGGGAATATATTCTATCCATTTCTCTTTGCTGGAAGCTGTATAATGTTTGTAGTATTTGCTTTACTACACATAGTTATGAATTTCATCTCTCCAATGTACATAAATTCAATAACTTTATATTTAAGGAAACTGAAATCCACTGTGTACTTGTGTAGTCGTATAACTACTGGCGATCTTATTCTGTTGGGTTACAGAAATCTAGTACTGGTGTTGATAGAATAATCCACGTTTAAAACACATTTTCCAAAACCATGCGTAATTTAGAAAAAAAAGCGTTTTAATCAACATCCCATATATTGTCGAATAAGAACTTCGGACATACATACTTCGTAAAACGACAAGCTGTAACGTTATATATACGTATAGAAATAGATAAGGATAAGAAGAGTACGGAATAGAGTTCATGGGGTGCACAGTGACTACTAGAGTAGCAGAAATCTATGCTTTGATCGAGACGCACCGATCGCATCCGTAATTTTCTATTGATGAGTTTGAGTGAGAACATGCCGGCAGGGCTATGCGCCTGCTGTGTGTGCTGCCCTCCTCTGATTGCGTGGGCGGTTGTCATGTTGGCTCCGTGAACGTCTGTCGTCTACTGACGGGAGCTGATGACCGTATGTCCAGTATCGATGTCATTTCAAACGCTTTGGTAATAAAACATGCAATATTTTTGCTGGTTACATTGCTGTTTTTGTCGTTTGTGAATAGTGCATACGCGTTCGCGCTCATGCGCACGCACCCCCTCCCTACCACCACCAGCACCCTGCGACACCCATGAGTACGGGGCCCTTGCTAGCTTATTGGTTATTGGTAGTTTATTAATATTATGAGAAGTGGATAGTAATAGACAATCTATTATTGTTCACTCCCGATATTATATAATGTCATATAACTTGGTTGGTTAAACGGTTGTTTAATAATTTTACAATACCTGCAGGTATTAATATGTTCACAGTGCATTGTATGCAGTTGTTCACGAATGGCATGTACATAGTGAGTGCGATGTAAGAAAAAACCTCCAATCACCTTCAATGACTCATATTGCTGTTTTTATTTTATGCTATAAGTTATTTATGCTATATTATAATATATATATATTATATTTTTACTTATGCTATATTATAATCAACCAGTGTAACGCCGTTTTGCTTAGCGCTGTATTTTTTTAGGATTCATAGGCTATGCAATACTAGTACGTGATATAACGTTATAGTGCTGACGGTGTTTCACCTGGTAGCTGGCATGCACCTCCTGCCGAGAATGCGAATTTATGCGTTTCAGTGAAATTACTGCTTTAAGTCACTGCTGCAACGTTGATGGTGGTGCTGAGAAGGCTGAACCCGTAGTATCTGGCTTGTTTTGTGGCTAGACTTACAATAATTATCCCGAGCCGTATACAAGAGAGAATTAGAAGAATGAAGAAAGTTGCGTTTGGAAGAGGGGTGGCCGTTATGACACATAAAAGCAATAGAAAAAGAAATGAAAGTGAGGAAACAGGTCTCTCCCTCCCTACTGCCTCTCCTCTTCCTCTCTCTCTCTCTATCCCTCTACCACCCTCCCTCCCTCCCTCCCTCTTCCCACTTCCCACCCATTCTTTTCCTCTCCCTTTCTCTATGTCTGTTTTTTTTTCTCCCTCACCCAAGCTCGCTCTCCATTCGCTATCCCCCTCTTTCCCCTCCTTTACTCCCTTTCTTTGGGGAAATACTACATTTATTACTAAGTAAGATCATTTACCAATTCATCATTACTAGCAACACATTAATAAGTAAACGTGAAATTTCATAATTATTAAATCACAATTATTATTATTTACTTAATTTCTTAATTAATATTACATTAATAAGTAAACGTAATAAAGGAATAAACGTAATTTCTGATAGCATGGCTCCGACACATCCTCTCATATGATACAGCACACCATCAGCGCACTTATAACGAGTCCAGGCGCTGGTTTGGCATCTCCATTGTGCGAGTAATCGGTTGCGTGTACACTTGATGAGATTTGCGCCCGATGTGGCAGCAAGCACTTGTTAGGCGCGTTCACACTGGCGGGAATTAGCGGTATGCAAATCTCGGTTTTTGCATCGCGATCGAAATCTCGAGATTTTTACAAGTGTGAACGCAAAAATCTCACTACGTATCGCGATCAGCATCGCGCTGCAAATCGCACTTTAGACTGCGATATTTGGGAATTAGCGCGATTAATGCCACCGCGGCGTGTGTATGACGCTCGCTGCAAATGAATCCCGGTATTTTCTATCCGCATCATACGATGTGTTTACGTAAATACTGCAGACGTAGAGTAGCGTACGTTAACGTAACAGAAAGCTTAGGGTAGCATACGTTTATGGCCTGTCACACATTGACGATTTAGCCAGCGTATGCCGGACGTATCAAAAATTTGGTGAATAGCCCGGGGGGATGAGCGTACGTGCGAATAAGTTATGGGTAAGCTTTGTATAAAGTTAAAAGCACGCTTGAAGCACGGCTGAAGCACGCTGGTGAATGCACGCTCGGTATACGTGCGTAGTACGGCGAAGTCTTCAAAAATTTGAGCATGCTCAAAATTTTCCGACGTATGCCAGCGGCTTATGCCATACGTCCGATTAGCGCGGGCCGATAAGTTGTAGGTAAGTTATTTCATTCGATTGACCACGTTCACCACACGTTACTTGTTAAAGTTACTTCATAAGTCGGGAAATACGTCGAGATAATGTCTAGCGTACCCAAAACTTTATTTCTAACTTCATGAGTAAACGTGCTTTTGAACCTGATGTGTTAACTTTGTGTTCTCCAATCGCATATTAAACGTATTTGGAGTGCTTCGGAGCGACCACAGAACTTACTGAACGTGTTTCTAACTTACAGCTACCTATAATGGCCGTATTAGCAAGCGTTTTAGCGGGGAATTGTATATAAAAACGTATTAGGCATGTTGATACTGCGACCGGTGATGTGATTACTGCGATGGCTTCTAGTGCGGTTATGATTTTGATCGTCGAGCGGCGAGCCTTTTTATAGGCCTACGACACGTGATGTCGG